CAAGAAATGGGTCATGAATATATTGTGAATTGCCCACAACTGAGTTTTTTAAAACCCTACGTTTTGTCACGACATATGGTAGTATTTGTGGATCTAGTTCATTAATTGCGGAAGAGTATCCTCAAGGAATGATGCCACCCATGACTTGAAAAAGGCTAATAACACAGATTTCATTTGTGGTGGGAGTCCTTGTTCTTGTAAATAGTGCAACTATATTAATTTGCTATAAAGAAAAGCAACCTAAGGAAGAGATAACATTGGTCTCTGTGTGTATGTGTTTGGTTCTTTCCATCTTGGAGAACGGGAGAAGTTCCAGCAGATTGGAGGAGGGCCAATGTGGTCCCAATCTTCAAGAAGGGAAAAAAGGATGACCCAAACAACTACCGTCCGGTCAGCCTCACGTCGATACCGGGCAAGATTCTGGAAAAGATTGTTAAGGAAGTGGTCTGCAAACACTTAGAAACAAATGCAGTCATCGCTAATAGTCAACATGGATTTATCAAAAACAAGTCATGCCAGACTAATCTGATCTCTTTCTTCGATAGAGTTACAAGCTGGGTAGATGCGGGGAATGCCGTGGATGTAGCGTACCTGGATTTCAGTAAGGCCTTCGACAAGGTCCCCCATGACCTTCTGGCAAGGAAACTATTCCAATGTGGGCTAGGCAAAACTACGGTGAGGTGGATCTGTAATTGGTTAAGTGGACGAACACAGAGAGTGCTCACTAATGCTTCCTCTTCATCTTGGAAAGAAGTGACGAGTGGAGTGCCGCAGGGTTCCCTCCTGGGCCCGGTCCTGTTCAACATCTTTATTAATGACTTAGATGAAGGGCTAGAAGGCAGGATCATCAAGTTTGCAGACGACACCAAATTGGGAGGGATAGCCAATACTCCAGAGGACAGGAGCAGGATTCAAAACGATCTTGACAGATTAGAGAGATGGGCCAAAACTAACAAAATGAAGTTCAACAGTGACAAATGCAAGATACTCCACTTTGGCAGAAAAAATGAAATGCAAAGATACAGAATGGGTGACCTGGCTCGAGAGCAGTACGTGTGAAAAAGATCTTGGAGTCCTCGTGGACAACAAGTTAAACATGAGCCAACAATGTGATGTGGGGGCAAAAAAAGCCAATGGGATTTTGGCCTGCATCAATAGGAGCATAGTGTCTAGATCTAAGGAAGTAATGCTACCCCTCTATTCTGCTTTGGTTGGACCACATCTGGAATATTGTGTCCAATTCTGGGCACCACAATTCAAGAGAGATATTGACAAGCTGGAATGTGTCCAGAGGAGGGCGACTCAAATGATCAAGGGTCTGGAGAACAAGCCCTATGAGGAGCGGCTTAAGGAGCTGGGCATGTTTAGCCTGAAGAAGAGAAGGCTGAGAGGAGATATGATAGCCATGTATAAATATGTGAGAGGAAGCCACAGGGAGGAGGAGGGAGCAAGCTTGTTTTCTGCTTCCTTGGAGACTAGGACGCGGAACAATGGCTTCAAACTACAAGAGAGGAGATTCCATCTGAACATTAGGAAGAACTTCCTGACTGTGAGAGCCGTTCAGCAGTGGAACTCTCTGCCCCGGAGTATGGTGGAGGCTCCTTCTTTGGAAGCTTTTAACAGAGGCTGGATGGCCATCTGTCAGGGGTGATTTGAATGCAATATTCCTGCTTCTTGGCAGGGGGTTGGACTGGATGGCCCATGAGGTCTCTTCCAACTCTTTGATTCTATGATTCTATGATTCTATGATCACGTTTGACTACTGGTGCTAATTCACACTGCTGCTAATAAGTTACTCTACTGTGCATTTATGAGGAAGGTCTTTTGTTAATAAGCCCAGAGAGAGGTTGACTGGCCCAATGTCAGTTCAGTTGGGAATTAAACCTGGATCTCCCAAGTAAGATCACAATCCAATGCTCCAACCACTGAGTTGCTGCTCTTGTTGTCAAGAAAAGATTTTTATTTTGCCAACTGTGCCTCTCTCCCAAAGTGATGAAGCTTGGAACAGCACATCCACATAGTATCCTTCTTCCAAGAATCAACTGTGGCTTGGATCTAAAAATGCCTCAGTGCTCAAAAGGCAGGCTTAGAAACCCATACGAAATGCTATGGCAACATGGAACCAGAAGCACACATGGAAGGCAAGCAATCACAGCGTGGTGGTAGGTTCAGCCCCTGACATTTGAAGAGCAGCTCAAAATTGGTTTTTGATTGTCTCTGTCTTCAGAATCTGTCCCCGTGGTGCTGCTACCTTAAGGTTAATGCTGAGGCATTTCAGGCACCAGAAAAAAAGGATTTTTCTGGGTCCAATCCTGGTGACTCAAGAGTGGCCATCAGCACCAACTGACTCAGGGCCCAGCTCATTCTATATCCAGCTTCTCCGTCAGTATTTTGGGGCTGCCCCTGCCAGACATGAAGACTTGCTGCCAACCAAGTCTAGATGTGATCCTGAATTTGGCTGGCTCCTGTTGGGGACTGAAATATCTCGCTGCTTGTGATGGGAGGCTTATGTAGGTCAGGGACTGGGAAAGCACTGGAAATCCCAGTTTTGTGTCATAGGACCGAATGTAGTTTGCACCCCTAACTTACAAATAAAAGCAGTTACAATTCAATAAAAATATCTTCTGGAGGGGCAAGATAAGACCAGGGAGCTTCTTTGTCATTAAAATCCTTTTTCAAAAGTGACATGTATAAATTATTTTTATGCATTTTTATATATAGTGTTCCCTCACTTATCGCGGGTGTTAAGTTCCAGGACCACCCGCCGCGATAAGTGAAAATCCGCAAAGTAGGGATGCTATCTATATACGAGGGGTATTTTTTAAGTAAGGTCCGTTTGAACATAAGTACACAACGAAAGTTTATTTCAAAAAAGTAAATTTATTTTCAGAAAGTACATACTTCACTCTATTTTTCGACATAGTTGCCAAGTTTGTTCAAACACTTATCATACCTCTGAACCAATTTTAAAATACCCTCTTCATAAAACTTGCCGCCTGCTCCGATAACCAAATCGTCTGTAATCAAAGAAGGGCGACCGGAGGGGTCCTCATCATGGACGTTGTCACGGCCATCTTTGAATTGTCGTACTCACTTACGCACTTTGCTTTCACTCATAACAGTATCACCGTACACTTCACAAATCCTGTCGATGAATTTCTGCAGCAGGCAGGTTCCTTGCTGACAAAAACCGTATCACTGAGCGAACCTCACATGCGGCGGGTGAGTTGATAGTCTTAAACATTTTTAAAGCACAGAACAGAACCGTACAGGTTAGCTACAGAGCGGAAACTGAGCACAGTTGTTCCCGAGGCATGCCGGTACATGACGCATGCGCTCGTTGCAGTATGCGCACAAACTACTAGTGTCTACAACAAAACGGACCTTACTTAAAAAATACCCCTCGTGTATATATAATGCTCTATGCATAATGAGTACCTTAAAAACAAAAGAACCAATGAACGAAATCACACCAAATTTGGCAACAAAACGTCTCACAACACAAGGAGTGACCATCACTCAAAAAATATGATTTTGTCATTTGGGAGTTGTAGTTGCCGGGATTTATAGTTCACCTATAATCAAAGAGCATTCTGAACTCCATCAACAATGGAATTGTACCAAACTTGGCACACAGAACTCCCATGACCAACAGAAAATACTGGAAGGGTTTGGAGGGCATTGACCTTGAGTTTTGGAGTTGTAGTTCACCTACATCCAGAGAACACTGTGGACTCAAACAATGGTGGATCTGGATCAAACTTGTCACAAATACCCAATATGCACACTGGTGGAGTTTGGGGAAACTAGATCTTGTCATTTGGGAGTTGTAGTTGCAGGGATTTATAGTTCACCTACAATCAAAGAGCATTCTGAACCCCACCAACGATGAATTGGGCCAAACATCCCACACCGAACCCCCGTGACCAACAGAAAATACTGTGTTTTCTGGTGGTTTTGGTGACCCTTCTGACACCCCCCTGGTGACCACCCCCCGGGGTGCCATCTGTTAAGACAGGGGTCCTCAAACTTTTTAAACAGAGGGCCAGGTCATAGTCTCTCAAAGTGTTGGAGGGCCGGATTATAATTTGAAAAAAACTATGAATGAATTCCTATGCACACTGCACATATCTTATTTGTAGTGCTAATAACACTTAAAAACAATACAATAATTAAAATGAAGTACAATTTTAAGAAATATAAACTTATTAGTATTTCATTAGGAAGTGAGGGCCTGCTTTTGGCTGATGAGATAGCATTGTTGTTGTGTGCTTTCAAGTTGTTTCAGACGTAGGTTGACTGTCAGCGAGGGCCGGGTAAATGACCTTGGAGGTCCGTATCCGGCCCCCGGGCCGTAGTTTCGTGACCCCTGTGCAAGACGGTGTGCGATGCAGGATGCTAGCAGTGCTAGAGATCAAAACGAAATCATGTGGGCTGCTTTTTGTTGTTGTTGTTGTTGTTATAGGCCAAGCTGCTCTTCCTTTTAGTGCCTACTGGCATTTTATAATAGTCACATTCTTGATAGTAATTCTACTTGATTTTTCACACTCTGCTTGAAATGTCATCTTTTTCCCTGCCTCTAAAACAGCTTTGCAGCTTCCTTGAACAATTGTTAGCCGCCTGCTGTTCACCTTCTTTAGAGCATACTGGACAGCAGGATTATTTATCTCCTGAGCCCACCGAAAGAAGGGAAGTGGAACCATTTCATCGACATTGAAGTGGCTTCCTAAGGAGCTAAATCAAGCATGGGCAAACTCTGGCCCTCTGGATGTTTTGGACTCCAACTCCCACCATTCCTTTTCCCCCTCAGCCGCTTAAACGTTATATCTCTCTATTTGTTGGGATATGAAAGTAGGCATCTTTTAGGTCTATGACTCTATCATATAGCTTAAGCGGCTGAGGGGGAAAAGGAAGGAAAGGAGGACGATAGGACGTCGAAAGCCTTTGGGAACAGTAGATTGCTTGTGAACAGAGGTGAGCTTGTCCTCTTTGTTTTCCAGTCTCACGGATTCAGAGATGCCGAGCAGCCACATTCAACTCCAGCCCTGGCAGAAAGTGAAGCAAACCCTCGCAAAAGGCCACGGGTTGAACACGGAGGAGGAGGAGAAGAAGAAGAACCATTGTAAATAAATATTTTGTCCCTGCTTCCGGTTGAAAATGTTTGCACTGTGGATGGACTTCAACGTTGTTCAAGAGACTTATTCAACTTGGATAAGACGTACCTTTAAAGTTAATCTGCGTGATTGTAATTTTATCTTCCTCATTTCTGTGTTGTTATTGTTTTCCTCCTTCCCCGGGTGTAATTTTTCCTTTTCAAATAAATGGTGACATTTTCTGTATCTCCAGAGTTGTCAAGTTTTCTCTGGATAATGAAAAAAAAGAGCTCTTGAACAGAGCTTGGAGCTATTATTTCCTTCAAGCACTCTGGAATTGGGATCTGCTTCTGACCTGCTTCTGAGTCCTGACCTTCTGGCAAGGAAACTAGTCCAATGTGGGCTAGGCAAAACTACAGTTAGGTAGATCTGTAATTGGTTAAGGAGGAGGTGTGAGGGAAGAGTATCCTGATCTTTCTATTCTGAATTATTTCCCGTGTCAGGGCAGCCAGTCAATTATATTACATTTCTAACAGAACAAAGCAAACAAACAGAGAAAATACAAAATGTGTGAGTTTGGTAGTTGATTAAATGTCCTTTGACCAGTATCTGGCCACTTGGAGTGCTTCTGGTGTTGCTGCAAGAAGGTCCTCCATTGTGCATGTGGCAGGGCTCAGGTTGCATTGCATCAGGTGGTCAGTGGTTTGCTCCTCTCCCCACTCTATTCTGAAAATTTCTGCTTAATGCTTTACTGTGATGGATAATATAAAGGCCGGGTTTTAGCACAGCAGGTTAACCACCAGCTGCAGTAAATGTTTGCTGTGTATGTGTTCTGTGACAGGGTGAGCTCCTAACCTTCAACCCAGCTTCTTCCTACATAGCAGATTTGTTGTTTATTCGTTCAGTCACTTCTGACTCTTCGTGACCTCATAGACCAGCTCACGCCAGAGCTCCCTGTCGGCCATCACCATCCCCAGCTCCTTCAAGGTCACTTCAAGGATACCATCCATCTTGTCCTTGGTTGGCCCCTCTTCCTTTTTCCTTCCATTTTCCCCAGCATCATTCTCTTCTCTGAGCTTTCCTGTCTTTTCATGATGTGGCCAAAGGACTTCATGTTGTTTATTCGTTCAGTTGCTTCCAACTCTTTGTGACCTCTTGGATCACCCCATGCCAGAGCTCCCTGTCGGCCGTCACTACCCCCAGGTCCTTCAAGGTCAAGACAGTCACTTCAAGGATCCCATCCATCCATCCTGTCCTTGGTCGGCCTCTCTTCCTTTTTCCTTCCATTTTCCCCAGCATCATTTTCTTCAAGCTTTCCTGTCTTCTCATGATATGGCCAAAGTACATCATCTTTGCCTCTTTATTCATTAAGTTGCTTCCAACTCTTTGTGACCTCCTGGACCAGCCCATGCCAGGTCCCTGTCGGCCTTCACTTAGCTTCCGCGACTCATGTGTTTCTTTTTAGAGGTCTAAGGTGATGGAGAAGGGGGGGGGGATGGAGTAGGGGGGGATAGAGTAGGAATGTGAGATGAGTGGGGGCAGGGTGTCTGTTAGACGTCTGGAGAGAGTGGTTGGCGAGGAAAAGGGGGAGGAGGTTGTGGGGCAAGGGCTGTTCTCGAAAGGGAACGCGCGGGAGAGAGTGGTTCCATTTTGGGAACGAGACACTGTCAAATTTCGGAATCCGTGAGTCAGGGAGAGCTTTCCTGCCGGGATGAGACAAAAGCAAGGGAGACGACGGCTTGAGCGGTGACTCAGAGAAACGATTTTGGTGCAGGAGATACAGGCAAACAAAAGGAGCATACTTTGGGTGATGTCAACAAGCAAAAGGCTTCCTCTGGGAATAATAGCTGCTGACGCCTGAGCGGTGCCAGCTGAGAGGGGCGCTTGACATACTGGGTGGGCACGCCTGCTTAGCCTCATGGAAAACAGGATGGTGATTGGGGGGAGTTGCGGTGTCAGCTTTCTCAAAGGGATCCATGGATTACTCTTGATAGCTCTTATCCGAACACAAAGTGGGATTCCCCCCTCACACACACACATATCAAGTTTATTATGATATTGCATACTGAGGCTTTGAAGCTTCCTTTTTTCCCAAGGAGCCTGATTTAAAGGCATGTGTGATATATTATAGATTATTGATTTTTTAAACTGGTTTACTAATTAATGCCTTGGGCTGTTTTCCTCCCAGTAATCCTAACTTTTATTTGAAACGTCAAATTGTCAACAGCAATGGTTGTATGTAAATGCCTATAAATCCCTCCAAAGACCTCCAATATTCTTTTTTTGTCATGGGGGTTCTGGGTACCAGATCCAGCATTGGTGAAGTTGACAAGCTGGACACTCTCTGCTTCATTTGGGAGAATGCTGCACTCGCAGAGCTCAGGCAGTGTTGCATTTCATTGTCTAGATCCGGGGAAGTCATGCTGCCCATGCTCTATTCTGCCTTGGTTAGACCACACCTGGAATCACACTGTGTACAATTCTGGGCACCACAGTTGAAGGGAAATGTTGACAAGCTGGAATGTGTCCAGAGTAGAGCAACTAAAATAATCAAGGGTCTGGAGGACAAGCCCTATGAGGAGCAGCTTAAAGAGTTGGGCATGTTTAACCTGAAGAAGAGAAGGCTGAGAGGAGACATGATAGCCATGTATAAATATGTGAGAGAAAGTCATAGGGAGAAGGGAGGAAGCTTGTTTTCTGCTGCCCTGAAAACTAGGACGCAAGGGAGCAATGGCTTCAAACTACAAGAAAGGAGATTCCATCTGAACAGTAAGAAGAACTTCCTGACTGTGAGAGCTGTTCAGTATTGGAACTCTCTGCCCTGGAGTTTGGTGGAGGCTCCTTCTTTGGAGGCTTTGAAACAGGCTGGGTGGTCATCTGTCGGGGGTGCTTTGAATGCGATTTTCTTACTTCTTGGCAGAATGGGTTTTGGACTGGATAACCCACAAGGTGTCTTCCAACTCTATGATTTAATGATTCTATGTGCCACATCTGAGTGCTTCTCATCTGTCTTATTTCCTGTCGAAACTCTTTCTGGTTATCGTCTTCTCTGTTGTGTTTCCCTCCAGCTGAATGCTTCTGTTCTTTGTCTCCTAATCTCTTACTGTCTGCATCAGTTTATCCATTTGTCTCCCTTCTTTATGAGCAAATTCAATTCATCCCAATCTTTGAATTTCTGCCTGAGGCGGTTAGGAACTGTGGGAGTTGAAGTCCAAAACACCTGGAGGGCCGAAGTTTGCCCATGCCTACTATAGAGCTCGGCACAAAGATTGTCTTGCAGTTGTGTACTGAAATCCCAAAGTAGTATAATGCATGTCTTAAAGCAGCCTTGGCGAGAATGCGATTAAGAGGGAGAAGTAGTCAAACTAAATTTTTGTGGTGGTTTTTGGATGCAAACTTGAATTAGGTTGGCTTTTGGTGAGTGAACACTCCTTGAAAGAGCTTGAGTTGGTGGGAAGAGGCTGACTGTACAAGGGTTGAATGAAAAGTAATGCCTCCACCTTCGTAACTCCTCAGTAGATGGCAGTACTGGTATGCAGCAGGTACTGGCTTGTTCAGTAGACTCCTCTACAATTCCATTTTGGTGGCAAGCCTTAGCATTGAACAGTTGTGTTGTTAAGTGCGGAGTATGGAACCTTGCACAGATGGTGGTCAATGCGACTTAAGCAATGTGCAGTCATTGAATTCTTGACAGCAGAAGGTGTCACCCCAAAGGAGATTCATCAGCTGTTTATGGTGATTGTGTTGATGTGAGTACCGTGCGTCATTGGGCGAGTAAGTTTAAAGGTGCTGAGGTGGGAACGTCTGACTTGCGTGACAAGCAAAGAGTTGGACGTCCTGTGACAGCAACCACCGAGTTCCACAAGCAAAAGGTTGACAGATTGATTCAGGACAATCATATTGATATCGAGCTCTTTTTGGGGGTCTCCCAGCGGGAGAGATCCCTGAAGACCGCTAAAGGGGTCCGTTGACCTCGGTGAGCAGCCAGCGAAAGCCAATCCGAAGAACGAGAAATATTAAAAATTAATCTCACCAGAGGCTGAAGAGGTTCAGTGACCGAGGCGTTTATTTCTGCGATTCAGCTGAAAAGGATGCAATTGCAGGGATCATTCCACCACAAGCATAATTTTACAGAATTTCCAAGCATTTTTATAATACACAGACAAAGGAGAACAGTTTCAAAAATCCCGCCCGCCCTCTGTCAGCCGGCTTCGTGCTGATTGGCTGGCCGCGAAACAGCTGGGAGGAGGCTTGGCAGCATGCCTCGCCTCCGGACCAATCAGCGGGCTCCGCTGCCTCTGGGAGGCCAATCAGTGCCTTCCTAGCGCCTCTGAAGATGGACCAATCGGCAGCCAGGAGGCGGGACGAAGCTTGACAGTTCAGAGGAAATGATGAGCCCAGGGGGCATCCGCCAGCTGAAATGTGAGGCTTTGTCCTCACCGGCAGGGTGACAGATAGGGGAACAATGAGTTTCCTGGTCTATGATTGGATTTGGGAGGAAGTATGAAAAGGAGCTTTTGATGGTATTTGGACCTCAGGGCCTTGTAAAAAGGGGGATCAACAAATACCTAAAAATGATTCAATCAGTCTTTTCTTCCTGAGTTCCTGTTGACCCTTCTCTCCTGGCTGGCCTGCTCCGATGGCCAGGGTTGGGGGAACAACAGCTTTGTCCATGCAAATGAAACAATCAAGGGTGATTGAGAGAGAGGCTGGAGCCCTCCCTCAGGCAGTTCCTGGTCACAGCAGTTTTTGTGGGGCAAGGGTCAAGGGGACGAGGGTACAGAGGAAATTCATAAGGTTACATACATATATCAAAATCATAGGCAATAGGCATCACTGATACAGAGTTAGAGCAGAAGAGGAACCCCCATCCCACCCCATAAAGTTTATTTCAATATTTGATCTTTATTAAGGTCCAAACTGGAAATCCCATGCTCTTAGGAAGGGCGTGTGGAAGCAGAGGTTGCTAGCAGTTCAAATCAAGCATTGATAGAAAGTTCATGGCCAGGGTTGTGGCAAACAGTCCAGTCCACTCAGCAGAGAGTCATGGATTCAGGCTGGAATCAGCAGATGGGCGCTGAGTTGATCAATAACAGAATCCATCGCTCAGCCCTTGGGGAACTACAACTCCCACAAAAGGGCAGAAGTCCCAAGGTCCAGCCATTTCCCAAAAAAAACCTCATGGGGTCCTTGTTGTTGTCAGTGCCTTGGCAATGTGGCCAAGACTTAACCCTTGCTGTGTAGTC